TTAAAATTAATGAATAGATCTTCCCTAATTTTTTTTAGTTATAAATATCTATGTAGATACATTGTTTAAAACTCATTTTAAACTCCATTTCATCTTTTAAAAAAAAGAGCTCAATTAGTCTTATCAGATTGGTTATAATTGGGCTCCATCGCGCGACGAAGAATTCTCCGAATGCAATTCCACCCTAATCGAGTTCGCTTTTTCATTTCGCAAGCACGACACACGGCCGAGCAATTAAACAAGTTAGGAAAACCTTTTACAAAGTCGCGTAGAGAGGAGAGAACTGGCGGACGTAATGGAAATTATGTTACGGTTTTTATAATCGTGAAATCGCTCCAAGGATTCATTCAGGTTTCTACGTCAGACAAGAGATAGAAAACGTTAATTTAAGTTTTCTCATTATCAGGATAAACATAATTAAGTTTACCTTTAGTTTTCTTAAATGAATAGGTATTCAATTTAAAAGAAACTAAATTAAAGAGGTTTGCTTTGTTCTTTTTTTTTTTTGAGGACGTAATTCGGTGCTTATCTTTTATTGAATAAAGTAAATCCAACATAATTTGATACAGTCCTCAATAGAAATTTAATTCACCTCAAATAGAATTTTGACACACACCAATAAGCTTTTTATGTTTTTTGAAACACTTTGAAATGACATCTAAATCAATTTCTTATATTTTTTATTGTCGCTGAGATCTCTAAAATCATTTTGATTCACACCAATCAGTTTTTTTCATATTCTAAACTTTTTGAATTTTCTGCAAAAACCTCATCTTTAATGTTATTAACTTCTCTTGCATTTATAAAATAATCTGAAAGCATTTTCCATCGGTTAATACTATTTTGACACACACCAATAATCCTTTTATGTTTTTTTGGTGTTTTTGAAATACTTTCAAAAGATCAATTTCTTAATTCTTTCTGCATCTCCTCATGCACGAAAAATATTTATAAAGCAAAAAGAAGTAGTAAGAGCTCTTTACAAATCAAATTCTAAGGAAAGCTGTGGGAATATATTCAAAAGTAATATACTTACCATCCCAGCAAAATATATATTTGTGTGTATTATGTACGTATACGAGAGAAAGGAGCAATGGGAGAAAGGATCCATGTTCATTATTATGAAACTAGAAACGCAGAAGTGTTTCGACCACCTAAACATTCTTTACGGAAAGCTCAATATGGTATCAACTATATTGGAGTTCATCTGTTTAATAAATTACCAAAGAACATCAAACTAATGACACAGAAGACAATAAAAAAAGTGAAATGTTTGCTACTGAATGGTGGATTTTATTCCGTTGTGCTAAAATTGTGCTAAATTGTATTATTGTACCTGTTATATGTATCTGGTATGAATTAATTAGGCAATAAAGGATTTATTATTATTATTAATAATATTATTTTGGTGTTTTTGAAATACTTCAAAAAACATCTAGATCAATTTCTTATTCTTTTCATTGTCGCTCTTTTTATATTAGAAACTTCTTGAATTAGTAAGTTTTCTATAAAACATCCCCTTTAATGTTATTGACTTGTGTTGCATTTATAAAATAATCTGAAAACGTGTTTTCCATCGATTGGTACCATTTTGACACCCACCAATAAGCTTTTTATGTTTTTTTGGTGTTTTTGAAATACTTTCAATAAACATCTAGATCAATTTCTTAACTTTTTCATTATGGCTGAGTCTTCTAAAGATGTTTTTCATCGATTAAAACCGTTTTGATTCACACCAATCAGCTATTTTCATATTCAAAATATTTTGAATTTTCTGAAAAACCTCATCTTTAATATTATTAACTTCTCTTGCATTTATAAAATAATGTGAAGGTGTTTTCAATCGATTAAGGCCATGTTGATCCTAGTTACGAAACTACTATGCACTTGCACTGTACAGGCATTGGGTAATTTTGCAAAGGAAAAGTTTTGCTTGGAAAAAGGTGATGTCCTTATGATAACAATGAGATTTTGGCTATCTTAAGAGACGCACGGCTAAACCCAAATGTTTCTGCTTCTAGGTCTAGTGTTAGTTCTACATTTGGTTCAATAAAAATATACCACAATCTAATGCTGAATAACAATTAAAACTAGAACTAACACTAGACTTAAAACTAAAATCATTCCGATCAACCCGAATGATTCTAGTTCTAGGTCTTGTGATAGTGCTAGTGTAAAAGTAGAACTGACACTAGATCGAGAACTAGAAACATTCGGATTTAGCCGCACATCTCTAAAAACGGCTAAACCCGAAAGATTCTAGTTCTAGGTCTTGTGTTAGTTCTAGTGATAGTGCTAGTGTAAAACTAGATCTGACACTAGACCTAGAACTACAAATATTAGGGTTGCGAATGTTTCTAATTGTAGATCTAGTGTTAGTTCTAGTTTTAATTTAATAAAAATATGCAACATAGCGATATTTTATGCTAACTAATATTTTAATGTAGCTAAATACGAATGCTTCTAGTTCTAGGTCTAGTGTTAGTTCTAGTGACAGTAGTAGGTAGCGTTAGTTAGCATAAGATATCACTATATTGCATATTTTTATTGAATTAAAACTAGAACTAACACTAGATCTAGAACTAGAAACATTCGCAACCCTAATATTTGTAGTTCTAGGTCTAGTGTTAGTTCTAGTTTTACACTAGCACTATCACTAGAACTAACACTAGACCGAGAGCGAGAAACATTCGGATTTAGCCGCACGTCTCTCAAGACGGCTAAACCCGAATGATTCTAGCTCTAGGTCTTGTGTTAGTTCTAGTGCTAGTGTAAAACTAAAACTAACACTAGACCGGGAACTAGAAACATTCGGATTTAGCTGCACGTCTCTCAAGACGGCTAAACCCGAATGATTCTAGTTCTAGGTCTTGTGTTAGTTCTAATGCTAGTGAAAACTAGAACTAACACTAGACCGGGAACTAGAATCATTCGGGTTTAGCCGCACGTCTCTCAAGACGGCTAAACCCGAATGATTCTAGTTCTAGGTCTTGTGATAGTGCTAGTGTAAAAGTAGAACTGACACTAGACCGAGAACTAGAAACATCCAGATTTAGCCGCACATCTCAAAAGACGGCTAAACCCGAAAGATTCTAGTTCTAGGTCTTGTGTTAGTTCTAGTGATAGTATAAAACTAGAACTAACACTAGACCTAGAACTAGAAATATTAGGGTTGCGAATGTTTCTAGTTCTAGATCTAGTGTTAGTTCTAGTTTTAATTCAATAAAAATATGCAATATAGTGATATCTTATGCTAAGTAACGCTACCTACTACTGTCACTAGAACTAACATTAGACCTAGAACTAGATAGATTCGGATTTAGCCGGACGTCTTTCAAGACGGCTAAACCTAAATGATTCTAGTTCTAGATCTTGTGTTAGTTCTAGTGATAGTATAAAACTAGAACTAACACTAGACCTAGAACTAGAAACATTCGGATTTAGCTGCACGTCTCTCAAGACGGCTAAACCCGAATGATTCTAGTTCTAGGTCATATGTTAGTTCTAGTGATAGTGCTACTGTAAAACTAATGCGTCTGAGGACGCACGGCTAAACCCGAATGTTTCTAGTTCTAGATCTAGTGTTAGTTCTAGTTTTAATTCAATAAAAATATGCAACATGCTGATATCTTATGTTAACAAGCGCTACCTACCACTATCACTAGAACTAACATTAGACCTAGAACTAGATACATTCGGATTTAGCTGCACGTCTCTCAAGACGGCTAAACCCGAATGATTCTAGTTCTAGGTCTTGTGTGAGTTCTAGTGATAGTGCTATTGTAAAACTAGAACTAACACTACACCTGATTTAGCCGTGCAGTCTTGCATTTTATGTGGAACAAAGTAAGGTACGCCCTGGTTTCTACGGAAATATATTTTTGTATATTGAATTTGAAGTGAAATTCACTGTATACAGGGTGATTTATAACATACGTAGCAGATTAAAAGGGTAGGTACTAGAGGTAAAACTGAAGAGATTTTCTTAATAATGTTTTGTTAAAAACTTAATAGTTACATAGATATCGCATGTTATTTTTTTAAATAATTTAATGTACATTTTTGAGAACCGCTGATATACAGTAAAGAACAATTAAAATATTTGTCAACGCCATCCTCATTTTTGAAGGAGCTGTAAAACTACACAATTTATTATTTCAGTAGTTTTGTTATTTTAGATAATACGTAATTTGTTAAAAGAAATGATAGATGTTAATTTATGAAACATCTAATAATAATGTTTTAAATGCAAAATTACAAAATCTCTAAAACAATTATTTGCACTAATAATTGCATCTGCATCAACAATTTCTAGAACTTCTTCTTCTACATTCACTCCATATCTGTCTGGTCTACCGCCGCCAAGACCTTTCTTAGGTTGTCTCTCTTTCCCGCTGGACTAACCGAAGACAAGTACTTTTCTGAAGGCATATGTCGATTTGGAAATCGTTTCAGATACAGATCTCTTGTATGTGCGTTTTCTCCAGCAGCTCCATAAACAATAAGCACATCTACGTATTCCTCGTTACTGTAAAGTGCCATTGTACTTTTTGATTTGTAATAGTTCTAATTTTGACGTTAAATGACATTGTTTATGAACTGTTAAATGACATGTCCGCTGCTAAGTAANATATCAATAACGTAAATAACAATTTACTTAACGATATTACCGATTTCAACAATCATAGGCTCTTCCTCAAATATTTGTAGTTGCTTGCACCTGATCCATCGCTTTACCCTTTACATGGATAGTTTTAGAATAAATTTCAGATATTGCCAATGTTCATTTTTATAATATTTATCTACTTTTATAATGTAGCTTTCATAGAATAATACCACCTTACCACGCATGCGCCGACGTCTTTTGCGACCTATCTTAAAATTCGTTAGTCGTCTAAGCGCTTCACGCCAGATCGTACTCTTTTAATTTCTTTTTTGTTAATTTTTGTTATTTTTGTTAATAACATTAATTTTTGTGTTTTCTTGCGATATTTTGTTGAATCATAATCTTTTACAACGAAAAATAGGTAAATTTCACTAATTCTCTAATAATTTATACTAATTACGCATTTTTGCAGTTAACCTTCAAATAAAACAGGTTTTAGGGAACAAACACGCTCTTCAAGCAGTTTCCCTAAATTGTAACACAGCCATTTGGCTTTTTGACTTTTTTTTACATAAAAATAAAACAAAATAATGGATTTAGCTCCTGAAATCGCTTGGTGTCCCTCCGATTTGTTTCCCCTTACGATTGCTCTTCTATATTGACGGTAATTAGATTTAACTTCTGTAAACATGTTATTATTTTTTCTATATTGTAAACTCTTTCAGTCGTGCCTGAGAAAGGTTTAATTGTAAAACCGAAACAGCTGTAGCACCGATTTGCCAGTTTAAATAAACTATTTTTCGTCGTACATTCAACCCCAGGGTAATTTAATCTAGAACTACAAGCATTCGGATTTAGCTACACGTCTCACAAGACGGCTAAACCCGAATGATTCTAGTTCTAGGTCTTGTGTTAGTTCTAGTGCTAGTGTAAAACTAGAACTAACACTAGACCGAGAACTAGAAACATTCGGATTTAGCTACACGTCTCTCAAGACGGCTAAACCTGAATGATTCTAGTTCTAGGTCTTGTGTGAGTTCTAGTGATAGCTATTGTAAAAGTAGAACTAACACTACACCTAGAACTAGAAAGTATCTGGTTTAGCCATGCAGTCTTGTATTTTATGTGGAACAAAGTAAGTAAGGTACGCCCTGGGTTCACAACGCTTACTCGATTCACCCAGGTTTAACCCTAGTCGTTCATAATGACATCCATGTGGACAACATATATAATAATGGATGTCATTATGAACGACTAGGGTTAAACCTGGGTGAATCGAGTAAGCGTTGTGAACGCAACCCTGGTTTCTATGGAAATATATTTTTGTATATTGAATTTTAAGTGAAATTCACTGTATATATATAATTATTTAAATATTAATTAAAAAATTTTGAAATTGTATGTAATGTATGAAACAAGTAATAAAATAGTTTATTATTGAAACCATACCAATTATACTTAATAACTCAACTTCATTAAATGGACTGCATGTAATAAATTTATTACAGCTGACAGTATTAATGCCTGTGAGTTATATATTGATATGCGCGTGTATTGAAATTGTACGATTTGACGTGGAGGTAATCAACGAAATCATTATTGGTGAAATAGCTGAATCAAAAAGTTAATAACAAGTTCAATAAAAATGAATGAAAAATGATAAAATTGTTTAAATTCACAATCGGAAATCGATTACATTAAATCTAATTATCAGTTTAATCCTTTAATCTCCATTATTAATTGAATTACAACATGACAATGTGTTTATCTGATAACATCAATTATGGTTATAAATGGTTATTAGGGATAATAATGCGGGTGAGATATTAATATAAAAGTAGAAAAATACATTGAATGTGGATATCGAAAATTGACGTTTATACATCTATATAAATTTAGATGGCAGGATGATTTATTTTTCGCCAATTGTTTGTTGGTATAATACATCACAAGCTGAAAATGGGACGGAGTCGAGTTTGATGAATGCGAACCCAGCGACATTCGACCTCGTTTCTTGCAGGCGCGACGTTTCAGCCACTGAAAAAGCGCCAGCCTTGTGGGAAATCAAATATCCGTTTACATTATGTCAACTAATGCATTTATGGAATTCGTCCCAGAAGAATTTTTTTCTACTACAACGAGCTGAGATAGAAAACCAGCTATTCGCTATTAACGACGACCTGCTCCTTTTGTTAAATTTAAACCAAGATATCCCAGAGGATGTTTTTATATCTTCTTTTTTTAAAGCATAAATGTATTTGTGGTACTAATTGGAGGAATTTTTCTGTGTAGAAAATATCTCAACGTTATAGAACAAATGTTGGTAACGAAATAATAATTTCAGAACAAACGATGATAGCGTTAGCGAAAACGGGAGGCCCTAAGAATTTATTGCCCGATTTTTGGAGGGTAGCCAACAAGGGATAACGGTTAAGCCGCACAGATTACGGAGAAAATAGCGACCGGGCAACTAAATCGTTAATTCGTCAAGTTTCGCTATTTGCCTCAACTTGATAACTCTGGCAATCCTCTCGTTAAATTAAGGAACCCAGCGATTTTCTCGACTCCCATTTTGTTCTACTTATATCTAGACAAATCTCCGCGAACGAAAAGAAAAAAGAAAAAAAAATGCTGACGAACTCGTTTCGGTTCAACTTGCATTAAAGAAACCCCAATATGATTTTCATTCATATTCAAAGTTCTTAGTGCTTTTTTTATGATCAAATATAAGTCGATCTATACGGAAAAGCGTAAAATTTATATTCCACCCTAAAGGTATTATTTTTTTAACCCGACATAAATCACGCCTTCGTTTCTGCTAAAGTTCTCAACTTTAGATTCGCTCCCAACGTGAACTTTCATTATTACAAGTTCTTCAGGTACAAAGTGGTTTGGGACAAATTCGTTCTGCGAAAAACACGCCATGTTTCGTTATTATTGAGAATCGAAAGAGTACATGCAACAACGCGGTTAATATAGGTGGAAAAAATTACGGGCAGAAATTATTATAGGTAAAAAAACGCAACGTCACCAAATCCGCGTTTTTACCCTTAACAGCGAACTCATGTAACCGTGTATAATCACGCGATATAATTATATTAGGGGCGGTGTCGTTGTGTGCGGCCACTGCCCGCAGTAATTGGTGCTGATTTCAGTCATTTGTTAAATGAACACAAATTTATTCGCGCCTACACCAATAGCGCTTATTCCTGTTCGATTTAAATCGAATCGTGGGACTAATGAAGTGCCATTTCGGGTGAAATATAGACGCCGGGACCATAGGGGCGCTTAAGAGAAACGATGCCAAGGGTTGTAATCTTATCGAATGAATGTCGTTCGGTCTCGTTTTGAATTTCCTCCCTAAAACGGTTTAGATCTTGTATAGATCTATTTCCAAGATCTATTACAATAGTAATTTAAAAATACTTTTAAAGCGATTTAGAAGTACGGATGATTGAGCAAAGTCTTGCGTGGTACACCGATGCTTCAAAGACAGTTGGATCCGGAGTAGGCATGGGCATTAATGGACAATCAGGAAATTGCCCATCAGCTCGGACCTTCTACACCTACTACTTTGATCCTTCAAAGTAGGTTCAGAGACAGAAAGGTGCATCCATAAACATTTTCACAGATAGTCGGCCGCCCTAAAGACAATACAGGCCTACACGTATCACTCCGCACTGATCAGAGAGTGTACCAGCACCTATGGTGGGTTACAAGTCATTGAAAGGCAGATACATTGAGGACAATGAGAAGGCAGACAAGCTGGCCAAAGAGGTAGCAAAAACGCCCTTCATTGGACTCCAACCCGGTTAATTAAAACCGTTTTGATTCACACCAACCTTACTAGTACCATTTTAACACACACCTATAAGCTTTTTATGTTTTTTGGTGTTTTTGAAATACTTTCGCATCTACATCAATTTCTTATTCTTTTTATTGTCGCTGAGTCTTCTAAAGATGTTTTTCATCGATTAAAGCCGTTGTATGAATGTGTATGTATGGATTAGGGAGTGCATGCAAAACCGCACACCACACTTAGGCCCCATTGGGCCCCTTGTGCATCCTCCCATTACACACTCTGGTCACATCAACCAGCCTAAGGATTTACCAAAGGATAGGACAGCTCCTAGAGGTGCATCCCTGATGTCATCTGTGGTTGGTCATTCCTCCCCGAAAGTCCTCATTCTGAGGTCGATCAGAGAGGAGCAATCACATAAAATGTGTTTAACCGTCTCGTCATCCTGTTCACAGGCTCGACAGAGAGGTGAGTCAGCAAGCTTCATGTTTTGAAGGTGCTTATTTACTTTACAGTGTCCCATGAGGAGACCTGTGGCAGTGCGAAAGGCAATTCCTTATTTTATCGGCTCGGGTGCACAGGGCGCTCTACCGGCAGCACGTTTGGCTAGCCTGTCCGCGTGGTTGTTACCCTTGGAGCCGGAATGCCCTTTAATCCACTGGATTCTGACAGAATTGCATTTCGCGGCCTCCTCCAGTGCTTTGTGACAATCAATAACTACTGCAGACGTTATAATAACTCTGCTTAAAGCTAAAAGAGATTGTTTACTGTTTGTAAAAATAGTAAAACACTTGCCCCGCTTGTTGGATTCAACAATGCAGTCAGCAGCAAGTTTAATAGCACTTAGTTCCGCTTGTATGACGGTGGTGCTGGATCCTAAAGGTTCTGAGAGGGGAATCAGGGGATCGTGACAGAACCATCAGTGTAGATCTTAAAAGTTCTTTGTACATCTACTCCTGTGGGACTGACGTGGGTGAGGTACTTCTTTGAGAGAACATATTTTGCTGGTCTGTGATCAGTCTTACACTCGAGTAGGGGTGAGTCTAACACTGCTTCCCTCCAGAGTATTGAACTGCTGCCAGCGTCTTCATCCTTCATAGTTGCTACTGATTGTAGTCATTTCATGGTTACCAACGCCACTTCCTGAATATATAGGTTGAGTGGTGGTAAATTTAACATGATTTCCATAGCTGCGGTGGGGGTTGATCGCAGCGCACCTGTAACATACAAACATGCGAGTCTCTGTATTCTGTGGTGGCGGTAGACTTAGAAGTTGTAGTCCACCATACCACCGCATCGTAAGTTAGCATTGGTCGAACAACGGCGGTGTAGATCCACAGAGCTATCTTGGGAGACAGACCCCAAGTCCTCCCGACAGCCCTCCGGCACTGGCCAAAGGCGACACAAGCTTTATTAACTCTATTGTCTAGGTGGGATTTCCACGTTAGCTTACTGTCTATTATTAAGCCCAAATACTTGACTTCTATAGACAGTTTAAGTGGAATTTTAGCAAGCGTTGGCAGTCTAGGATTGCCAATGTTGCGCTTGCGTGTAAAAAGAACCATCTCAGTCTTCAATGAATGTCTTCGGGTTCGTTTCGAATTTCCTTCCTAAAACGTTTAGATCTTGTGTAAGATCTATTTGCAAGATCTATTACAATAGTGGCATGGGCATTAATGGACAATCAGGAAATTGCCCGTCAGCTCGGACATAACCATTTTTCCAGCAGAAGTTCTTGCTATAAAGTTCTGCACCGCTTTGAACCTACAAAAGGGACAGAAAGTTGCATCCATAAATATTTTCAAATTTGCCTAAAGGCAATTCAGGCCTACACGTATGACTCCGCACTGATCAGAGAGTGTACCAGCAACCTGAGAGAAATCGCTAGGGGCAATGATGTTACTCTATGGTGGGTTCTAGGTCATTGAGAGAGCAGATACGTTGAGGACAATGAGAAGGCAGGCAAGCCAAAGGGGTAGCGAAAACGCTGGTTATGGACTACAAAAAAGCAACTTA